CTTAGGATAGAGAAGTTACAGTTAAGTCTCATTACTGATTTCAATGGTAAGCAAGTGATGCATCTCAGCAATTTATACCTGTGGTTTTGATTTTTGCATCTGAAGGGCACACATGTTTTGTGTGCTGTCATTGCAACCACAGGCAAACTACGCATAGTCTTCAGAGCAGTTTTAAAACCACAGTCTTAGCACAATGCAATACATCATTCAGGTGAAAGAGTTATGGAAGTAAATTAGTGCCATTTTAAAACTACTTGGGTGTTGCAGTGTTCCCAGTCAGTTTCTTATTTTGATAGTCGCAGTGCTCTGTGTCTAGGGGGATGTTGTGTGGGTAGCAACATCAGTTAGCAGTTAGGGAGTCTCTGTTCTAGGTGCAGTTCTGACAGATATTTTTGCAATAAAGAATTTTTAAAATGAAAACTGATATGCTCGCCTATGGAATTCAGGAGGACATCAAGAGAGCTCTATGTAGGATGAATATGGAATGGCAATACATAATACATCACTGTTTTACTATCAAAGAAGCCCACGGCAAATTTTGTGAGAATGCCCAAGTAGAGATACTAACACAGCGTATGGCGGTGGGGAGGAAAAAAACGCACTGTGAGTACACAGCCTGATTTTCTTCAGTTTTCTCTTCTTCCCGATTTCTCGGATTTATAAGAAAAAATAGGCTAAGAAAAAAACTCACTGTAATTCTTAGTTTTATATGAATTCCCAAAGTTATGCAACTTTTATTTTAGCACAAATAGGCAAGGGGGCTTCCAATAGGCAAGTCCCCTTGATTCCCTACTTCAGTCTAGAACCCCGTTCTGATGAATTATCAGTGGTAAGGGAGGGTATTCACAAAACCTTTGAAGAAGGTTTTACATCATTTTGAAAATATTAATACATCTAAAGGAATAAAGGCATTAGACTATTCTCATTCTGTTCATAATGACTGTTTCAAAATACAATTATATTCTACTTTTGCAACCATTTACATAACTTTCTGTATCCTGTCATTAACAAAATTTTATATCCAGTGTCTTTTTATCAATTTCTTCACTATCTTGTGTAGCAAGCATACACCTCTGCTCTAAGATTCTCCTTCTCTTTCTGGTCCCTAGAAGACATCCTGCCACACTTTTGGTTTAAAA